ACACTTAGAAGATCTTTGGCCAAATCACAGTAAAATGACATTTACAACAATCAAGACAGCATCATCACTGTTCCAATGAACCTAAAGAATTACTGTTTGATATAGCATGAAACCTGAATCCGTAATCAAAACTGAATCCGTTGAACACAATAGTTATAAAAAGAAATAAAAATTAATTATTAAATTATATTTAGATATTCTAGTACTTAAGTATTGTTTAAGGCTTTTCAGATATTCAGTGAAGTGGCAGTATTTATATCTAACTGAATACTAAGTTCTCTCAGTAGCTTGAGTAGAATACTGACAAGTAGTGTATGTGGTTACTACCTTAGTCTCATACAAACGATGGGTGTTTACATATGTTTTTATTTTCCTATTTTTAATTGATTTTTTTTCATTGTTGATGTATATTTTCGCACATTAAGTATAGTTGCAATTTCTAATAACTTATATTCAGTAGATAGTTTACAACTTCGCTCTATGCACTTAATTAAATCATGTACAAATAAACTCTTACTTATTAACTTTTATTCTTATTTTTTTTGGTACTTGACTTTTATTTTTGTAGTCATTATTGATTCTTGTTCTTTAGTGTATCTCAACTCAACTCAAATGTATGCATTACGCAGCGACTTCATAAGAGCAAAACAACAAGAATAATAATAACATGGCCGTCATGAGAAATGAATGAAAGTGCCATTAGGCTTGAATTTTTCCGCAGAAAACCTCTGTGTAAATATTTGTAATGTTAAAAGTTTGCTAATGATTTTTAAGTATTTGGAGTTGCCATGGATATAAATTTACATATAAATGATGTTGTAATCATATAGCACATAAAAATAGATAATAAAATGTTTTGAAAGTTAACAGGTGGTTATCAAACATAATGAGTACCTGCCGCATCGTCAAGTAATCAGTTTTGGATTTTTTGGTAAAATATTTATAAAATCATCAATATATATATTTTTTTTTTGAATGAAAGTAGTTTATTGCTCATATCAACAACATGAATAATGGAAATATTTTTTCCGCTATAAAACATTTGATTTAGTACCATTAAATCTTATAAGATTAAGGTTATATATTATATATAAGTAATAGCGGTTTTCAGTGATAATAACGGTCCAGTCAACAGATTTTGATTTACTAGAAAACTTTGAAAATACTTTTGATGAACCACAGAGATGCCTATATCTTATACAATTGTAGTTATAATAACTGGAGTTTGTTATGTTTCATTAACGTAATACGTAATATCGTTTTCGATTGATAAATCTGAATTCATTTTAGATTTACCCTCGATCTGACAAATTTTGTCGCCCAATCGAACATTTTTAAAGTTATTTAAAATTTTTATAGTTGTTTTAGTAGACATTAATATATTTCATAAAACTCCTATTAATTACAGGGTAATCTTGCTACTCTAGCAAAATATCTAGAGTGTTATAAATTAATCTTTAGTGTTATACATTTTACTCGAGATTTACAATCGAGTGAATTTCGATTGAAAAAGCTATCCCAGATTTACCAATAGAAAACGCCATAACACAATGAAATCCCTCAAAAGTTGAAAGGCCGGAACTTCTCTCGATGACTGTTACGATACAACGACATATTGTGTTGCGCAGTGTTTTCATAGCAATACATGATCTGAAATTTCTGCTGCAATGTTATTGAGCTGGGGTCGTTTGCATTCTGCTTGCATATAATATATACCATAGTATAATGATAAGCTAATCTCATCACATGGCAAACGACCTTTTTAAATAAAAATATACATAAAAAATTTTAAATCACACTTAATATAATAGGACAAATGTAATAGAACTGTAATCAATTGTGTCAGCAAAATGTTGGACAGAGTACCTAAGATAATAAAAGTTAAATGTAGGGTGCATTTGCAACTGTTAATTGACGAGGTAAGTTCTGTATGTTTTGCAAAAATAAAACTTTATGCATATGAATTTATTTAAAGATTTCTGTTGACCTAAGATAATATATAGTCGTAAAGCGAAGTAGTAGACGATTTTGTTAAAAGGTATAAAAAAATAATAAGTATTGGTTGTTCTCGATTGGTATATTGAAACCAATCGATCTTACTAATTTTAGTAAGAATAAGAGTTTGAAGAGTTAGGAGTGATTTAAAATCAGATTAGCTGTGTGTTCGAACGGACACTATCTATGGTATAAAAAACTAAATTATTAATTATATGTTACTAGCCGTCATGAGTACAGAGTATAAAGTAAACCTTTTGTTAAAGGCATTTTGGAATATATTCTTTGTTTCTTTCTGATTCCGTTAAAAGCTCGACTAAAATTCTTTGAGGTTAAAAGTATTGAAGAGCTGATACTAAGTTGAGTTCTATATTATAGTTAAGTTAAAACACATATATTACTATCTATTTATTTATCTTCAAATGATGAGTGTACATAACGACTCGCATCTGATATCGCTACGGTCTTAACAGGTCGATGTATGGATTCACTCATACAGTTTAACTTACAAATCAACATTTTTTTCAAAAGATAAGTATATATACGTATATAAATATAAAAATATATGTATACATATATGTATACATATATGTATATATATTTTCCTAATATTAATGGTTATATATATGTCAAATCGTTTACAACTTGGGTACTGGATATTTTCTCTTATACTACTATATATATGTATTTAAATTGTCTTGGATAATTTGTGATATTCACACCCCTAAAACTACAGTTGTCATTTTATCTAAATATGAATACGTGTATTTAAATATGCTTCAAAATGATTTAATTGTTTTGTCTAACCGTTATATATGATCAAAATATGTATTTTTTATATACTACTGCAGAAAAATAGAGACTATATATAAATGTATTGCAAATGATTGGCTTTTTAAGTATTTTTTAACCTGTGCTAACTCCGAAAAAACTGATAAGTATTTTATTATGTTTTAGTTTTGATTTTGTAATAATAAACTATTATTATCCAGTTCAGGGATTTGATTTGCAAAAACCCTAATCTTTTTTCGATTTTCGATTCAGTTCCGAAACTTTAAGTAATGTTTACCAAATTATGGAGTTCGTTTAGATTTATAAAATATGTACAGCCAAACTTCCATTACTCGAAGTACCATTTTGCAAAGAAATGGTTTGACTTTTGGATACTTCAAGTTAAAGAACTCATTTGTAATTGTATGTAATTTGGGTTTAGAGAACCCTGTTGAACTCCATTTAGTTCGAATTATTGAAAATTTTATTTATTAAAGTTCGAGTTATGGAAATTTGACTGTAGATATAAATAATTTAATATATTAATTATGTGTTTAATTTTTTGTGTGATATATTATTAAGTAAAATTTTTCTAAATAAACAGAAGTTCTTTTTAAATTTTTAAAGAATTTTTTGACACATAAAAGTTATTTCCTATGTAATAAGTAACTTATGTCAATGGATACTACAAAATCTTACTTAAGTAAAGCAGTGGAACCATCTATTTAAATGTATGTTATAGGTCTTTCTTTAACAAATAAATATTTTGTATTAGGTATGTTCACTTAAATCAGTTTAGATAAGCTAAATTACTGAAAAATAAACATCAAGTTAAAAAGTTTGGCTCAAATACGCCTATGCACTTACGAATATACATAGAATTTCCTATATTCGTATTAAAAAAAAAAATAATAAATATAAAATAAAAATATGTGTTATAAATATACATAACAAATATTTTTATGTAAATTTTTTTACATATTTATATTTTTTACATATTTATATTTTTTACATATTTTTTTACATATTCAAAAAATTCTTATAATTTTTTTTTTGTACATTTTTATATACATTCATATACATGTATATATACATATGTATATATATAAATTCACATATGGTTAATTTATTATGTTTATGACTACATTAGAACATAAACATCTCATATGTTATTAATTATTATTGTAATAAAATGGAAGACTTTTATTATATGAAAAATTAATCATTTTATAAAAATATATATAAAGCTGTGCATAAAAATATGTACAGACTTAACAGGTATTAGACATAAATTTTCATGAGTTATAAAATTTTTGTTCTTGAGTGCCAATTCATAATAAAACTCATTTGGCTACCCTTGTAAAGTTATTATAAGTACAAAAACAAGTGAAACAACAAGACCAATAACAATATTACCTACAATTAACAAGAAAACAACAACAACAACACTAAACAACAAGCGATAACGCAGAATAAGAACAAAGCACCACCAAAACTTACATTAAATCAAAAAAAAAATAAATAAAAATAAAAATATAAACAAAAAAATGAAGCATAAAACAAAAACAATAAATGATTATCAACAATTTTTTTTATTTAGAACTCGTATTGACTCCCTGACTCCCGTTCCAATATACTATATGTGCTGTTATCCACACACTCAGAATATGACGTTTCGTTCTCAGCAGAGCTCATGCAGTTCTTTAACACGAGATTTTGTTCAACTCCGCTTTGAACTAAACTTGACTAAGCTGCTGCTGCCGTAAAGCACCAATACTGCTTTGGTAAAAGCAAAAGCAACAGTAACAGCGACAACAACAACAACAACATTACGAACAATAACAAAAACAATAACAACGATAGCGAAGCGAGAGCATCAGCATCGGAATCATTAATTAAATTTGCTTTACCACAGCATTTTAAAAGCGCAGAAGGCAAAAAACAAAAAAAAAAGAACAAAAAACAAAACATAAAAATATTAAACAAAATTATTATTCTAAATTGTGCAGCTAATCAGAATAAAACAAACAGTTTTGCTTGAGCTTCGTTTCAGAAACGTCGCGGTATTGTCGTTTAGAGTTTTGCGCGCAAAGTAGACGCTGTGTTTCAATAAAAATATTTATTTTGTTAATAAATTATTGTGTTTCATTCAAATTTGGATAATTGCAGTGTTTTTGAATAAATTTATTTATATTTCTTTTCTCGGGATTTACGATAAACAGATCAATTTTTTTTTTCTCAAAATTAAATAATAAATAACTACGCTTCGATTTTGGTAAACAAAAATTAAAATTATTTAATTAAAAAATTTAAAATTATATTTAAATTTTATTAAAATTAATTAAATAAAAAAAAATTATTTGTTATTATTTTAAATTATAAAAAATTATTATTTCGTGCTAGTGAACTCAAAAAAAATTTTATAGCTTATATTATATATATGTATATAATATAATATTAATATCTATAATTAATATACGTATATGTATATAGCTTATATTATATATATACGTATATAATATAATATTAATATCTATAATTAATATACGTATATGTATTTTGACATAAAATTGTATATAAAATATTTAATAATATAAAATATATAGAATTTTATATATAAATAAATAATAAATGTTATAGAAAATAAAATTATTATAATTTAGAATTACACATGATATTTAATTGGTGTTTTTAATGATATAAAATATATAGAAATAATATATTTTATAGAAAAATAAAGTTTTAATTCAGAATTATACATAATATTCAATTGGTGTTTATTATGAAAATTAAAGCATTACTTCCTGGTAAATAAATATTAACGAAACTCAAATAAGACAACTTAAAAGTAATTTTCAAATATCTTAAAATTTAAGACAATAATTGACAAACTTCAATATTGACAAAATGTTACAAATTGTGAACAAATATACAAAACCTATTAAAAGTTTATTAAACAATCACTTCAAAGCAATTATACTAGGAGTGATAAATGTGACATGTTTACTTTATTTAAAAGCTAAATGCAAAGTCAATAAACACAATAATATGATATATTTGCCAACAGCAATACTGGCTCCGTCATCCCAAAACATTTCATCATCTCTTTTATAACTTGCATTCCTGCATCCAGACCTTCCCTTGTCTACCTGTTAAGAATATATAGTAGATTGCCTATAGTCTTGCTCTTTCAGTTTTCCTTGTCATATGAGTTGTATAATTTTTGTGGTGGAAATGTTGATTCCATTATATATGTACATAGAAATTGCCAATCTGAAATGGGAATTTGCAATAGCTTACAAAGACCCGAGCTAACATGAGCAAGCTATAATCTATTGAGAACGAAAATTATACCAGGCAGAGCCAAGATAGAAGTGACAAAGCCAGTAGACTTAGTGAAAGAAACCCCATACCAAAACATTTCATATCTCTGACATTTGAAATGCAAAAGAAGCAGTAGGAAGAGGAAAAAGAAACAATTGAATACATTCCTTGAAAATGTCCAGATATTTCAAGATTAATACATTCCACTATGGAAATCTATGAACTAATGAGCTTGGAGGATATTCCACATGTAGATCTTCAAGAAATACTTTTGTTTTATCAACCACTCAAGCTGCTTTTAAAATTCAAATTTTGATAGTCGAGTTTATAAAAACAAACTGTATTTATGTATATACGTACGTTACTCTGGTGGCAGAGTTTCCTCTTCTTCAACCATTACCAATCCTTTTAAAGTGGTATAATCGCTTTACATTTTTGTGTATTGTTAGTTCCTCTATTACTTTTTGATAGTTGGGTGAAACTTGTTTTTCCTGCCAACTAAGCTATACATTCCTTATGGTGGAATTGTTAAATCCCTTATTGACATATAGCCAATCTTTGCAAAGTTATTTAATAGCCCTATGTTTTTGAAATCTGTTATGCATATAACTGATGAATCAATAACAACACCGTATCAGAGTTCTTAAAAGAATTAATGAAGATAAACATCACTACAGATGTGAATTATTATCGGACTTTAAGTTACAGTTCCCACCCAAGTCTTATGAATACAGTTCAGCATGTTAAAACTAACAGTTCTAAATAATTTTATTTAAGTTTTTGAGAAAGTCAGATAGAAACAAAAAAAGAAGAGACATTTATTAGTTTCTTTGACGCCCGGTTCCTTAAACTTTCAGAATTTATATATAATGATCATTTTTACGTGCTTATGTTTGAACCAAACAGTACTTAACTGAATCATCAACTAGCATTCTACAGTTCTTTTTATCGAACAATAACACAAATGGATGGATAGTAACACAGTTAAAGGTATGATAATACAGTTGAATAGATAATAATACAGATGGATGAGAGCAACATAACAAATGATAGCTAAAAAGTTATTAACTACTAATGGACAACAGTTAGGCTACAAGAAGGAGTGTTATTTATCGATACGGTCTGTTTTAACCATGATGATGATGATAATGCCAAATAGTGCTTAACAGAAACATCGACTAGCATTCTATAGTTCTTTTTATCGGACAATAACACAGATGAATGGATAGTAACACAGTTGGATGTATAATAATAATGTTGAATAGATAATAATACAGATGGATGAGAGCAACATAACAAATGATAGCTAAAAAGTTATTAACTACTAATGGATAACAGTTAGGCTACCAGAAGGAGTGTTGTTTATCGATTAATGCTTGATACGGTCTGTTTCAATCATGACGATGATGATAACGCAGATGTGGTATATATTATTTTGAATGCGAGTTTGATGACTTTGTAATTGCTAAACAATTTCAACTCTATCACGCAGAGGTCTGAGTACCTTGCTTCTTTGTTCTCCTTGGTGCCAAATGTTTACGTTTTAATAAACTAAATTCTTTCCCTTTATGTTGAAATGGCAATGGCTGAATCTACACACAGTCGTAGGTGAAGGCCTAATTAGTTTATCACTTTTTTATACTACTGACCATTTTTGGATGATTTGACTGATTTAATCACTGCTTAAATGCCTACGAATAAATTTATATCACATTTAATTACTTTTTTCAGGCGAACAACTTTTGCCATTTTGTAACAACAAATATTTCTGTTCGTTGATGTTCAAGAACCTTATATAAGTCATTTACATCCAATTAATAAGGCATTTTTTACCTCCTACGCATATATTATGATCTATCATTTAATAATATTTTCACAATCTTTATTTATTATTATATCTATTCCTCATCGGAAGCTTTTAAATCTGTGTCTGAACAGTTCTTCCGTAAGTGATTTGTGATTCACAGCGCATCTAGTTTACACAATTCTCTTATGTGAAATTCAGTACAGCAAAAGTTAACTCCGACCCAACTTCCTCTCATATCTCAGAATTTTTCCTTTTAAAACACTTCCAAAATATTCTCTCAGTACTATTATATTCATAATTTATTAGAAACTGTGAGTCTTTTTATGAATAGATCCAGCTCCTCCATGCTCTTTTGGGTTTACCATGCACCAAGTTTTCCTGCGAGTTCTAGCTAGAGAGTACGTGCCATCCATCTGCAGTTATATTTTTTCATTTCATTGTTTATATTGATTTGATGGAACAATTTGCTGTAGTTCTTCGCTACATATGATCATTCCATTCTCAAAAAATTAAGTAGGACCCATTAGTATTACAGTTTATATAGTATAGTGTATAGTAAACCCAACTTGATGCTGTAGTAAAAATTTTAATATAATTTAAAATTAAATCTACTTTATTGTACTGGGGTATATATGTAGTTTGTTGTAGGGTATGCACAATTGGGAATTCTGTTAATACATTAGTTTTTCCTAAACTTTTAAATTTAGTACATTGTCAATTTTATTAATATATACATTGTGACCGAAAAGCTTCCGGAAATTTTAAATAAAACGCAAAATTCTTAATCTTCATCAATATTTATTTTATCTCCTTCAAAATATGCTCCATTAGAAGCGATACACAAATGCCAACGTTTCTTCCAATCATAAAAACATTTTTTATAGGCGCTTTCCGGTATGGCTTTGAGTTCCCTCTGCGAATTCTGTTTTACGTCTTCTATGGATTCAAAACGCGTTCCTCTGAGTGGTAATTTGAGGTTGGGAAACAGGAAAAAGTCACACGGTGCAAGATCAGGTGAATACGGTGGCTGTTCGATGGTATTTATTGAATGTTTGGCCTTAAAATCGTTGATAATGTTGAACAAATTGAGGTGAATCGGAACAAGCCGGGCGTTGACACGTCGCATACACAAATTGTCCACCAAAATCAAACGAGCCATCTCACGACCGATGCCTAGCTCTCGTGCTATCTCTCTAACACTCACATGAGGATTTTTGAACACGATTTCCTTTGCCTTTTCAATGTTTTCGTCGGTGGTAGAGGTCGAAGGTCGTCCAGAACGCGGCATGTCTTCGACGGTCGTACGACAGTCCTGAAAGGCTTTGTACCACTCATAAACTTGAGTTTTCGATAAAACTGATTCCCCATAAGCCTTTTGTAGCATTCGCAACGATTCTGCACACGAAATTTCGTTCGAAAAACAAAATTTGATGCAAACTCTTTGTTCAATATTTTTTTCCATTGTTTTTTTCGCAACGCACTACTGAGGTGAACTGGTTTCAACAGCTGCCGTAAACGAACTGTCCTGACAGATCGCGCTCATTTTTGGCATAGTAATTAAGGACAGTGCTGCCAAACTACATAAACTTAAAATATCGAAAAATATACAGCGCGCGAATTTTAAATGAGAACCTCCGAAAACCTTTCGGTCACAATGTATATAAGATATATAGATAAAATAAATTTGTGATAATCTAATACATTTTTTATTAAAGTATCTTTAGATCGTATATGTTTACGGAACAAAAATTTCACCTATATATTAAAAATTACTATGAATTATTATGGATTTATTATTTTTGAGAAGACGGGTCTGAAAATATCAGGATAACTAAAAAGTAGGTATCTATGAAAGACGTCTAACTATTTTTATTTACCATAATTTAATTTGTAGTTAATTGGTTTGTCTGTTGATTACCAATTTGTGCTATAGTATGTGCTACCTTTACAGAAATTACCTACTGCGTCTTATTTGTTTTTACAATAGGACAATAAAAGTGAAATATCTCTTCAATTGAGTTGCCGACAGATCATAAGTATTGGGATCGTTGGTTCAAGTACTCGAAAGCCATGGTCTGTGTTTCTGAAAAAAAGAGTCATTAAAAAGAGTTTTTTTTTTTTAAATGTTACAGACAGCATTTTTT